CCATTCCTTTCTGTTCTCAAGCACATGATCTTTTTTACTTTTAGGCAGGGTTTCAGTTCTTCACTTTTGCCAGATCTGTTCCAAAGTTATCTTTCCCTTACAGTACCATCATTAAAGACTAGACATGCTAGCTGTCATGTGATTAAAAACAGCTAATGCAGAATTCAGCTTGAATGCTGTATTAAGTGGCATATAGACTCAAGACTTCACAATATTTAGGTGTATTAACACATCCCTACAGAAAAAGAAACCTCAGGTAATAAGAGGAAATAGTTTCAGTCTTCATCTTGGCCTCTTTCCATCTCAGAGAAAGACTCATAATGGATTGGGATAAAGATAGCAAGGTTCTGAGGCATATTTGTGCTAATTCACAGCGACACCTTTCATCTTCCAGGAGCACTGGTATAATGTCCTGCGCCTACTCAATGTTGACTGCTTTGCAGATCTCCAGGGAATAAGACAACAAAAGCAGGGAAGTTTACAGGTTGGAATAGGATTGTAACTCATACTGATCAGGATAATTACCTCTTCTAAAGATTTGTAGTTTCTTTCCAAAAATTCCGTATTTATCAACAGTTTGGAAAAGATAAGCGCATCAAGTTCCCACCAGTTGCCCTTTATCCATCGGATCCAGAAAGGAGAGCATTACAAACCACGCACACCGCTGTGACCAGACAGTGCTGCGCATGTCTGGAGAACAGCGTTCAGTGTGACCGTGGAGAGCGCCTTGCCTTTCCGTCGGGATTCTGCACGTCCGTCCAAGTGATCAGCACAGCAGAGCATCTGCTCAGCGCACCCTCCCTTCTCTTACTCCCAGCCCAGTAACTTGTTCTAATTGCATGTTTGCACCAGAGGAGAATTCCAGGGAGCGAGAGGGAGAGATGGAATATACCCAGATTATTCCCAATCAAGAAAAGAGACTGGATTGGATTTGAATTTCCAGCCTCCCCTCAAGCTAATCAGGCAATTAAGGGTGAGAAAAGAAAGTGGTTTGGTGACCAACCCTGACGTCAGCTGGAGGTAACTTCCTGCGGAACTCCTGCCCTACCATGCACATCTTGCCCTCGATTTATTCAGCTGGACAGTCTTTACTGCGTGTGACTGGTAACAGGGCAGGACTGGGTACAGGAGAGGGTGTCTGGCGCTGGGCTCTCGCTAGATGGGCTGCCACCCACTGGGATGCTGCTAAATGCCCAGGTGCCACAAGAGCCAAGCCACTTGGAATCCCAGCCGCGGAGAAAAAGGAGGCACTGAATTTTAAGTGAGATTTCCAGGCTTGTAGTAATAGAGTAGCTTAATTCCAGGTCAGAATTCTAAATGCCTGCCAAGAATGTTACAAACAAAAACCCTGAAAATCCCAGTATTTATGTAGGATCCATCAAAACAGTATTCCGGACTTTGGAATTGTCCCAATGGATCAGGGACAGCATTTCACTAACTTTCCTGATAATGGTAAGGATGCGATCAGAGAGTGCTCACGACAGGTCACGTGAGGTCAGGCTGCACAGGGAGCTACAAATGAATTTCTTCCCGATGGGGAGATGTTCCATCCACCACAGCCCAGATGGGTACCACTGTCGCTTCCCCTGCTCACCTGGGATCCTGCTCCTGGAATTGGGGCTGCTGCTTCTCATGTTACCTCTCCTCTTCTCTGACATGTAGGACTATCTGCTAGTGTTGGATCTGCTGTTTCTGGACTCCTAGGAAAGGAAACGTTTTTGCCTTATCTCCTTGTGTATACAATACAACTTTAAAAGAATGGTGCATTTATGTTTTCATAAATCATCCTTCATAAACCGCCTTCATAGTTTAAAATGTGCTTCTGTGGACAGGAGGGAAAAAAATTAACCTCTACATTTTTAAAGATAGTGAATGTGATGTAGAACACTGCCAATAGTCCCCAAATGGCCAGGTTGTGGCGGGGACCCAGGGCACCTGTGGCACTGACAGTGTTCACATAAGTCTATTGCTGACTTGTCGGTGGTGAGGAAGTGGGGCTGTCTGCAGGCACTTGTGGGCTGGATCAGTAAATGGGAGCAGAGGCTGCACCCTGGAAAACTGGCTGGGTGAGATGGGTGACCGCTGAAAGGAAAATCTGGCCCTAGACCTGCCCGGTGTTAACCACTAGAGAAATTTTAGTTTTGATCCTTTTGTGATGCCTGTGAATTTTAACGGATTGAAGCATCAGACCAAAATACTCAGGGGATCTTCCTTTAAATATCCCACAGATATTTTAGTTATGTCACTAGGAAGGGAAAGATTTTGTTTTTGTTTGGAAACTAAACAAGACCATCTTGTAAACTGTTTTGTCACCCAAAGCCTTCTCCTCGAATTGCACGTGCATCTTGAATTTCAGAAAACATTCGTTCACAATTGGGGGAGCCGAATGGGCTCTGTTGTTGAAACACTTGTTATACTATTTCTCGCATTCATATTATAAGATGTTTGAAAAGGTAAAATGTGTGAGCGGCTTAACGAAAACACAACTGAAATATTTATGATGCTTTTCATACACTGTGGCATAAGATGTAAAGTTTCTAATATTTTGCAAGTTTCTGTGCATTTTAATATTCTTTTATAGTTATGAGCATTTTAATAAATTCATTTTAAAAAATACTATGGTTGGATTTGTAATTGTCTTAATTTTTTTAGGAAAGAACAAAATGTGTATCTGCTATTTACCAATTATGTGTCACTCAGATAACAGATGTGCACTTTTATGTGGATTAGATCTGAAAGTTTTCATAGCCTGCATTATGTTGAAACATGTATTTTCTGGGGAAAATTGGGGACAGAGTTTCAGCCAGGGCTGCTGCCTACAGTTGCTGGGATTGAGACCTGCACAGGGCACCAGGCCTGGAGACCAGGCGTGCCAGGGTCAGGCTGCATCAGCCAGGAGGGGAGAGGTCCTTTTCTCTAACTGCATGAAGATGCTTCTGCATGTGGTACCTGGGGCATGTCACCTGACATGGGGCATTGTCACCCAGAGAGGGCACATCTCTAAGAAGGCTCAGAAGGCTCTGTTGGGACCTGCTGTGGCCCTAGGTACAGAAAGGGGACATAATGGAAAAGAATAGAAAGGGGAAAATCTCATTACAAAAACCAACCTCTTTTTAAAATTCCTGGATAACATAGAATCCAGATTTTAACTCATTCCATCCTGTGAATTTTTTTTTCTTTGACCAGCTTAAACCTCATTAGGCTTCCAGTAAAACTAAGTCAAACATAGTCTATAGCTGGACCCACAGGAAGAAGCATTTTCTGATCTATAAATGATGCTCTTGGGATGAGTACTAATACTGTTGTTCTTCCCTCCATAGAAAACAAAGAAATGGATTTAAAGCGTTTTTAAATCCAGCAAAGGAGCCACAAGAAGTTCATTTCTTGAGCAGAGTACCCCCTTCTCATTTAGTAGGGATGATGAAGTCTTAAATAATTGGTATTTATCTGACCCAACGGGTCCCATGCCAGGTGTCCACCTATACATAATCTCACTGCCAGCATAATTTTATTGCAAGGAAATTTTAAGTAACTTTTTTTTAATGATAAAATACATGATTTAAAAAGAAATGCAACCTGTTGCTTAAAAATCCCCAGCTGTGTAAGAAGACTGTGCAGGAAACCTAGGTCCCGCTGTCACCTCAGCCCAGCCCAGTCCCCAAAGGTCCCAGGACATGTGAGTTAGGGGATCAAGGGCAGCCTTTTTGCCCAAAAGAAACTTCAGGGATCTGCTTTGCTTTTAAAGAATTATACTCAGTATATTAAAGTTATAGAGCAGAAAAGCTAGTTCTTTCCTTCAGTTTTTTAAGTTGAGCCCACATCCTATTTCCATAAATTTAGCAGATTTTACCACTTTTTAAAAGCCTTTGAATGTTTGATACCACTTGCAAACTTAATGAAATGCTTTAAAATATCCGAGCTAACAGTTATAAATTGGCCATTCCAGTTCCTTTTTAAGTACTCCTGTTTTCTAACCAACTGTGGCCGAGAGGCCATCACGTGGAGGAGACGCAGACTTTGTCCTGCCCTTCTCTTGCGAGGACACCTTTGACAGAGCCATTTAGGCCATGTGCTCCCTTGTCACCCTTCATCACTGGGACACTAAATATACAAGTGGACAATGGCCAGACTATATACGAAAATAGAATGCTGACCCACAACCTGCAGCGACCAGCCCAGGAAACCAGCCCCTTATCTGTAATAATCAGACCAAGAAGCCAGCCACACTGGTAGGAAGCCTAGCCTGTTTTATCGTCAGTCCAGGAAGCAAATGATAGCCCCCAAAACAATCAGCCCCAAATGGCCAGGACTTGGTTAATAACAGACAGCATCCCTAATTTTTATCCGTACT